AAAATCCCTCATACACAACTGCTGGAAAAAGTTCACAGTTTAAAAAACTTTGGCTCCATAAACTCCAACAGTTTTATTATTGGTAAATAGCCACAAGAAATGAAAAATGAAAACAGATCTGTGAAAAAGTTTGTCTACAAATGTGCATGGCACAAAGGGACAAAATAACTCAAACGTCAATCAACTGATGGATAAACAAAGTGTGATCTATCTAATACACAGAAATACAGTTTGTCAGCAAAAAATTAAGTGATGATGTTGTATATGCTTTTAAGCACCTGGATCTTAATAACATGCTTACTGAAAAAATAGACAACTATAAAAATGTAAAATTGAATTATAATAAGATAATGAGCAAATATATAGACGGAAAATAGATTAGTGGTTGGCTAGCCCTAGGTGGTGGGAATGTAGGATGACTAATGTAGATGGGTATAAAGTCTCTTTATAGGTTGAAAGAAATGTTTTAAAAATTGGATTACAGCAATGGTTTTTATCTCTGTAATTATGCTACAATTTATTGTATACTTAAGAAGGATTGTATAGTATGTAAACTGCATGCCTTAGACAAAGCTATTTAACAAAAGCAACATGTAGCTTCCACCTTGTTCTCTTGGATCACTTGTTTGGGGAAAAGCCCACTGCCGTGTCCTTCCAACACTCAAGCACGTTTACGGAAAGATCCACACAGAAAGGAACTGATACAGCCTGCCAAATAAACATGACTGAGCAAGCAACCCCCGAGAAGTCCGGCTGTAGTTCTGGCTAACATCTTAATTATCTGGGGAGCTTTTACATTTATTTTTAAAATGTCATTTCATAATTTTACATAATTACATAAACACATATGCATGCTATATTAACATCTTTTCTCTCTCCATCTTTCCCATACCTCTTCCTTGTTCCCTCTCAAATTTGAGACCCCTTTTTCTCAAATTACTATTGCTGCATATATACAAATAAAGCTATAAATGCCACCTGCAGGGTCCATTTAGTGTTGTTCACATGTAAATGACTTTAGGGGTCACCACTGGTGTTAGATGAGGAGGCTCATGCCTGGGGAAGACTGACTCTCCCTCCCTGAACAATCATTCATTTCGTAGCTCTTCATCTAGGGGCAGGGCCTAGTGAGAATTCCTGCTCTTGAGGGTCTGAGTCAGAACCACCAACTAAGCAACTCACACATCCCTAACAAACAGAAGTCACATTCTATAAGCCATTAGAGTTTCCATTGTTACTGCACAACAGACATCCTTCTGCAATCCTCTCCTTAAAGTTAGGCAGTTTCCCAAAGATGGAACCAAATGAATTAACCCCCCAGCAACCCTTCATCTTCTAAGAGTTTAGATTATCCCTATCCATGGTTTTGCTGTAGCTGTTGGCATGTTAGTAGGAAACAATCCTATCACTTAGTCTTTATTGAATGAGCCAAAAGCAGATACCTTATGAAAACTAAGCCAATAAAGCCAATAAATTCTCTCAGAATTTAATTGAAACTGACAAAAAGATGGTATCTTTCAATAGCTGAAGCCATAAAATGTAGAACTTTAATTCTGTCCATTTTCTATCTCCTGGGAGGAACCTGGACAGCAATGAAAAAACTTGACACATGGACTAGAAGAGATTTAAGATACAGCAGAGGCAATGTAAGTGTCTGGTGCTAGTGATTCTTCAGACCTGCCTTTCCAGTGGAGAAGCCAAGTTATTAACCACAACATGTAAAACAGCACTTATGAGGTACATAAGAGGTGACAAAATATTTGTTGAATAAACGAGTGAGTAAAATAATTTCCATTTTTCCACTCGTGTTCAACAAAGTTACATTTGACTATTTAAAGGCTAATGGTTTTAGTATTTCTTTTGTTGCCTTTATACATTTTGTTTCTATTATTATACTTAAGAAATAATACATCCTGATTGCTGGGTTTTATGGTTTCTTTCTTCCACTACAGCTGGACACAGAACATTCTCTTTGGTATCTTTAACACCAGAAAGCAGAAAATGCTCAAGAATTTATGTTTAATTGATTTGCCTAATCTTAAAGTCTGTATTCTTCAGCTTTTATAGTTGCTGCCATCAGTTTATCAAGACCTAACATCTGCAAACCTTGCCCTTATTTTTCATCCAAAATTGAAATCACTCAACAAATATTTGAACATCTACCACACGCCACAGGCTACAAATAGACCAAAAAAAAAAGTTTCTGCACTCAAGGACCTTACTATCTGACACAGACAGACAGATGTGTGTGTGTGTGTGTGTGTGTGTGTGTGTGTGTGTGTGTGTGTTTGGGGTGCATGTATGAGTGTATGGGCACACACATGCCACTACATCCATCCTCACCTTCCATTTTAAGACAGGGCTCTTTTGTTTTTCAGCACTGTGTATACCAAGCTAGCTGGTCTACAAGCTTCAAGAGGCTCTTCTGCCTTCAACTCTCATGGTGAGATACAAGTACTAGGATTACAGATACACACTACTATAGCCAGCTTTTGTGTGGGTCCAAAGGATTCAAACTCAGGCTTTCATACTTTTATGGCAAGTACTCTATCCCAAAGAGCCATCTTTTCAACCCCAGGTAAATGAATTATTATAGTACCGTGTGTTGTGATGGGAAAGATACACACAAGCTATTCAACAGCAGCAAGGATTACAAGGAGTTTACACTCTGCTCCAGAAGGCAAAGACACATATGATAACGGCTAACCACCCAATGACTTATTTGTTTTCCAAGTAAACTAGATTTAATTCGTACATTTTACAATAAGATCTGATTTTGGAACAGGATTTTAGATTTTCATTCACCCAACATTTCCTACTATGGGCCAAGTAACCCGAATAACATTTTCCCAGTAGTATCTCATTCAATTCCTACATTTTACAGATGAAAGGAGTAAGCCTGAAAGAATGCAGTGATTTCCCAAGTCTAAACAGCCAGCTAAGTGGCAGAGCTAGTATTCATCACCAAGTCTTCCAACTCCATGTCCAGGTTTGCCATACTATTCAGTCTACATAATGGAGCCATTTCCATGCCCTTATACTGGGTTTCTAATCCCATTTATCCTTTGTCCTATGGCATACAATACAACCACCAACTACTAACCTGAGAAGTAAGCACATCAGATCACACTTCTCTAGCTCCTATTAAAGCACTCTGTGCTAAGAGGAGTCCAGCTGGCTGGTGACTCTTTCAAGCTTTATTCTAACAGTGTTTTTGACTATTACATCTGATTAGTTGGTCACATGCTTAGCAATACATTTAAATGACCGTTCCTGTCCTTTGACATTACTAATGAGTTCAGTACAGTCTCGTCATCCATCAGAAGAATTTCTAAATGCAAACTTGATGATTCACACAGTTAGTTGAGAAAGGGAAATAAAACAGTGCTCATTGTTTTCTACAGAATTAGCATTGTTTGCAAAATCCAGGAACTGAGCAGTTGGTTGACTACTAACAAGTAGGTTGCCCCTTGGCCCTTGAGCAAAAGACTGCTTGCTGCATCATGACCAATGGCTGAGCATGTAAGACTTCAAGTAGCATTTGTTGTACTGTATGATTCCACACACTTACAGCAAGGAATCATTATGTAAGACAGGGGTGGGGGAGAACCAAAATCCTCACTCTAGAAAACATGTGACACTGCACCTGGCGTAAACTGGGTATCAATACTAGATACATGTATACGGAGAAAATGGCTTTACATCCTGTTGAAAACATCAGTTGTTGATTAAATTTGGAGTGAAAAATCTCACCCAAGGGAATCTACACTGCTTATGTGAGGAACTCAAAAATACTATGGAATAACTGGGTCAGGATGCATTATAGAGTCAGAACCATCAAAACTGCAGTGTGTAAACTGATGAACTGAGAGAGCATGAATTTAACATACTAAATCATAAGGTGGGCACCCAACACGCTAATAAGCAAGCTCATTCGAAATAACAAAAACTAAAGAACTTTGGACCGTGGCTAACTTTACCAATCTGTTTCAATCTGTCCCAAACAACAGCAAGATGGATACGGTTTCTACCTGAAACCCACAACTTACCGTTTGGGTCTACTTAATACAATGTGCCATAGACTTAAGTGTCAAAAATCCTAAAACCACTGACACTAATAACAATCGAGCCATTATAACACATTCTCCGTTGAAAACTAATAGTGTAAGGGGGAGACCTGACACCATGGGGCTGGGGGAAACCCAAACTGTACCAATTGGTCCAGATAAGAATTTTCCAAAATAAACCCCGGAATTACACAATGAAAAAGCAAAAGTAAAAAGCTTAGCACACACAGCTTTTACTGATCTCCATCCAGCACAGGGGATGTAAGCGCTGAAGTCGCCTAGTGAAGCCTTTCACCTAGAACTTTACATTTATTGAGGCTGCTTCCCAAAAGACGCTGGCAAAAAAAAAAAAAAAAAAAAAAATCAAAGAGACTATAGTACTTCATGATAACTCTAAGAGAAAGGACTCAATTCCAGAGGCTCGCGAAGCCTCTTTACTTCACTAGAGACTAACCGAGGACCAATACCCATCAAGTATATCGGTCGCAGGATCTCTGTCCCTCAGGGATGGTACACACACACACACACACACACACACGCTCCCTCCCCTCACACCTGGACCACACCAGGCTGAGGTGCAGGGTAAAGTGAGTTCAAGCTCCATCACACACAGCTCCACACAGCTCACCTCCTGAGGCAAAGAGCACCTTTCCCTCAAGACACCGTGTAGTGACAGATATGTCACCTATGCAGGAAAGGGGACCTGAAGGCATCTTCTCAGGTCGGGCCCGACACTGGGGATCCAGCAGAAGCAAACTTTTCCTCTCCTTGTCCCAGAGCCTCCCAAGACCCCCGGACTATTCCCTGCCCGCGAAGCCCCGCCCCGGGCCCGTCCCCCCAGCCCGCGCCCCTCTTGGCCTGTGCGCGCGCCCATGCCGCCTCTCAAGCGCGCCTCCGCGGCCAGCCCGGCCGGCAGAGGGCGGGGACGCTCACCGGTCCGCAGCTCGTGCTTGACAGTCAGGAGCTGCTCGCCGCCGTCGCCGCTGTCCCCGCTGGTGCCCGCACCGCCGCCGCCGCCGCTGCCCTCCCCCTCCATCTTCACCCTCTTTCCGATCGCGCGGGTCGCTCCGATGGGAACCTGATGGGACAGCAGACGCCCCGTGTCTTCACAAGCTCCAGGAGCCGAGCTGCCGCAGCGCCACAACTCCGACACTGAGGCGAATCTCTTTCCCGCTCTGGCCGCGCAGCTCCTCCGCCTCCTCCCCTCAGCGGGCACCGCTAGTACGGCGCAACCCCGCGCCCTGCGCCTCCACCTCCTCCGCCAGGCCGCTCCGCCCACAGCCAGCCCAGGAGACAGCCCTGAGCCACCAGCGCTATTGGGCGCAGCGCGCGCGCGTCTGCCAGCGCCCGTTCCCATTGGGCGGCCGGTCCTGACGTTTCACGAGTCGCCCCGCCCTGCTGCTCGAATTGTTGTTGCTTGGCGGGGAGGCAGGAGAGGGAGGAGCGCGAACGCTCCGATTGGCAAGACCAATGATTCGGCCCCGCCTACTCGCTTTGGTGCGCACGCGCAGGCAAGGCCTTCCCTCTCCTGACCTCCCCAGAATGGTCACACCCCTTATTCCCCAGCTTCGATCTGTTAGTAAACAGTGTCTAGTAGTCAGGAGGCGCTCCGGACCTCTGATTGGCTACTGCAGAAAGAGGCGGGGAAAGACGATTGGATTGTCCAATCACCGTGGACAAAGGAGGGACCTGGAGGGAAGCACTTGTCACCCACGTGTTTGCGCGTGCGGGCGTCTGAGGGTCGTAAGCAAGGATCCACAAATGTTTGACTGTCTGGAAGATGCCATGCCCTCGAATGATATCATTCACTGTAGTTAGCTTTAAATAAATTAAATGGATTTTGTGTTTAAATACAGGTAGGGGCCGGCAAGATGGTTCTATGGGTAAAAATGCTTGCGGCCAAACGTGGACAATCAACACCACAATTCCCATATAATGAAAGAGAACCTACAAGTTGCCCTCCGACCTCCACACAAGCTTTAAGGGCACGCATCACTCACACAAGGCAAAAAAAAAAAAATACATTTACAAATAAAATACATGTAGTTTCTACAGACAAAAAGTCAAGGTTCTGGCTCAGGATTAGAAATCTAGAATAAAAACTTTTTTTCGTTTTCTTTCTTTTTCTTTTCCTTTTTTCTTTTCTTTCTTTTCTTTCTTTCTTTTTTTTTTCTTTGTAGCTCAGCCTAGCCTTGACCCCCCTGGTCTGTCTGCCACCACCTACGAGAGCTGGAATTAGCACCATGTGCCACCATCATGCCATGCTTATGACGTGCTGGGGATTGAACTCCAAGCTTTCTGAATGCTAGGCAAGCATTCTACCAGTTAAGCTACATTCTCATTCTAATTTTTCATGTTTAAAAAACTCAGAGTGTGGAGAATCATAAAATAAGATACAATTTCTGCTCCTGAACAGCTATTAATGGAACTTGAGAAATGGACAGCGTATATACAGGCACAGGAAAGAATTTAACAAAACTGTGGAGCAGTATCAAGTATTAGAGACTCACACAGATGGCAACGATTATTCTCAAGGCTTTTAGGGCAAGGAGAAAATCTGGATAGCCAATTTAAAGGACAAGTAAGACAAAAAAATACCACTGGAGACATTTCCCACAGAGGTAACTGTGGGCCTAGGTCTAGAGGAGATCAAATACAGGTAAGATAATTGGTAGGCTACATGAAGTGTAAGGGAAACAGCTGTATAGGAAAGGTGATTTACTTTTATTTTCCTTCTTGTAAAAAAATCACCTGACAGAAGCAACTTAAAGAACGGGAGTTGCCAGGGGTGGTGGCACTGCAGCACTCAGGAGGCAGAGGCAGGCAGATCTCTGTGAATTCAAGATCAGCCTTGTCTACATAGCGAATTCTAGAACAGCCCGGGCTACACAGAGAAACCCTGTCTTGAAAACACCAAGAGAAAAGAGAAAGACCTGGGCATAGTGGACTGTTAGGTGGGGGGGGGCTCACATTTTGAGAATAAAGTGTATCATGGAGAGAGGAGGCGTAGTGGCAGGAACAGGAGACCACGTGGTCACATTGTATCTGTAGTCAGAAGAAGACAGAGCTAAACTGTGGTACTCAGAATTCTCCTAGGTATTAAATCTAGGAGCCAAGCACAAGGGTTGCAACACCCAGCACAGCTAGGGTGGCTCTGTTAAGCCTCCCTGGAGATGCCATTAAAAAAACACCCACAGGTGTGTCTCCTAGGTGGTTCTAAACCCAGTCAAACTGAAAATGAACATGAACCATGTCTGTAAGACAATGAGGACTCTTAAATGTTATACCGAACTGCAGATATTATTTAGTACAGAAGTCCCATGCACTAGTTAGAACAGCAAAGTCACTTTCTTAGAACTTATCTTATCCCATGAGGCTGAAGGGAAGAGAGGACTCCCAGGGAAAGAACCTACTGCAAGTGTAGCACTGACAGCTTAATTTCTGTAGCAGAAATAGGTGATAATGAGAAGAGAAGAGAATTGAGCATAAACAATACAAAAATGATCTTCTAAATTGCACATGGATTAGATGAGGGAAGAGCAAGCTAGCTTCCTGTTAGAGGTCAGATAGCAAATTCAAGGCTTTGTGAGCTGTAGCTCTCATGTATAACTGCTCAATTCTGCTGGAAAGCAGTCAATAAAAACCAGAAAGGCAATAATGCAGGGCTGTGCTCCCCTAAGATGTCTTAATGGATATTAGAATTTGAGTTTCACATTCCATAACACCTTATTGTTTTAATATCTTTTCAATCATTCAAAAATACAAAACTCTTCCTTAGTTCATGGGCCATTAAAAAATAGACAACGGTCTTTATTCGGCAGTCTCCATAGTCGGCAGTTTTTGTGTCAAAGTACCATCAAAGAGAGAGTGGAGACCTTTAGGAACCCCCCATTAGATGGCTGCCACAGCTCCCTGGGTAAACCTTCCCCGGGATGCCTGTTCTGCTACACTGTAACTACATACTTACCAGTGCTCTGTGGAGCCAAGCAAAGGCTGTGTGCAATTGTTCATTGGTTCATACCACAACTTTCACTGCCATTATGTGCCTACTGTGGTCGGTGTCAAGGATACATTGTACATGAAACAGATGCCATCCTGTTCCTTATAGAGATTACAGTTTAAGAATGGAAATAAATTGTAGGTAATCACATACATAAAGAAATTGCAAGCTTTTCATTATGCTCACACCATAAATGGAAATCAGCGAGCTACACGGAATGCATCGGGAATACCTGTTTAGGTTAGAGTTGCCGGAAGGCTGTTGTATGGAAGTAATTTTTTTTTAAATTCAGAATCTTTAGAGATGCATAAGATTAACCAGGACTTTAAAAACAAAAACTGTCCTAATGCGCGCCAATCTCATTTCCTCTTCTTGGGCAAACAGGAAGAACTTTTGTCTTTTTTCAGTTCTTTTGCAGCTAGGTTCTTATGACAGTTGGCCAGTGGGCAGACACGGCCAGACACTTTCAAAACTAGCCAAATAACCCCATGCACAATTGCAGTCTCTCACACTAGCTTTGCCTTCTGCAGCAACCATACAAGCTTCTCTCTCTCTCTCTCTCTCTCTCTCTCTCTCTCTCTCTCTCTCTCTCTCTCTCTCTCTCCCCCTCCTCCTCCTCCTCTTTCTTCTTTCTCCCTTTCTCTCTTCCTCCTCCCTCTCTCTCCCTCTCTCTCTTTCATTTTGTTTTGAGGGCCTTTTGTTGTTTTTGAGACAGGGTCTCACTATATATAGCCCTGGCTCTCCTGGAACTCACTCTATAGACAAGGCTGGTCCAAAGTCTCACAGATCTGCCTGCCTCTGCCTCCCAAATACTGGGATCAAAGTCATGTGCCACCATGTCCAACAAGCCACATATTGAATATGGAGGTACTTCATTTTGGAAGAACCCGCCCCCACCCTGGGCTGGGTTCTCACGGGAAGAATAGCCACCTGACCTGCAATAAGTCTTTTAAGTATAATCTACTGAGGTGGTGGGATGGTTTACTATGAAAGCATTATGTACCCTACCCTATTTCACAGGGGCACTGTTCAGGGGAAGAAAGTTTTAGGATGACGTTCAGAGACAGATAAAGAACCTGTTGCACTTGAGAGACCAAGAGGAAGCCAATGGAGTCTTTATTACCATAAGAAGAGCATGCTATGAGATGTATAGGCAAAGACATAATCACAAAGTATATGTCTGGTCTTATTAATATTTATGAGATTTATCTATCCAGGAAAGGGATTTAAAGTGGAGAATGATATAATTGGGACAGTGTTTTTAAAAGGTTACTGACTCTGTGTGTGTGTGTGTGTGTGTGTGTGTGTGTGACCTGAAATTGACCTCTGACTCCTATATATACATAGGTCATTTGGTATTCACAAGCAAGCTGGTGACCTGGATTACATGAGGTAGTGTGCTCTATGTAAATGTGCCCGTTCCTTATCCCTGGATGTCTACCACCTCCAACTAGGTGGAAAATGAGGACCAACACCTGAAATTGTCCTCTGACCCCTATGTATCCCGGTTCTCATTTTATACCTAGTTGGAAGCAGGGTATCTTTGTCACTGTGGTGGATAGCCAGCCTAGCTGGCCCATGAGCGACCAGGGATTTTCTTGTCTGCTTCCCACTTGCCACAGGAACACTGGGAACATGAATGTGAGCCCGGGCTCTGGGAATCTGAGCTCATGCCTTCGTGCTAGTGCAACAAACGCTTTACCCACTGAGAGCTTCACCCTCATATCCCCAGATCTGCATGTTTTACTTATTCCTAGATAATTTGAAAATTGCAGAAGAGTTGCACAATTAACCACCAAGCTTAGAAATAAGGATGAGTGTCACCTTTCGTACCCAACACTGTGCTGAGTGACAGGAAAGGACAGAAGGGGTGAGTTAGGGACTTGGGAGAACTGGGAATACTTTGAAACAGCCACTGAGAGCCATAGATACAGTGAAGCAGCTTTGATAGTTGCTGGCTAGCACTGGGGTCCCAAATGGAGTTAGGCACCCTGAATCTCACTGCGTGTCTTTCTCTAGCAGTGTACACTTGCCTT